AGACCAACAAAGAAAGACCGAACGCTGCCTATATTTCAAGTGACACCAAATCCAAACCAAAACTATGCTCAACTTATTCATTACACTATTACAGTTTCAACCAGTAACAACATGGTTTTAGGTTTTATGTGTGTATCCAGCAGTACACATTTACGTGTTGGTAAAGAAATAAAGAAGAAAGAGCTGAGTAGATAAGAGGTAGAGCATGGTTTCGATATTACTTAAAATGTAGGTGGCGCTCTGTCTATATTTTTTTGTTGGTCTGCTAAGTCTTAGTATTATTCAATATAGTTATCTTTAATTTCGGTATTTTTCGACTTTAGTCCCCGTCGTTCAAAAAAGTCAAAATTTTCTGAACAACAAGTCAACGATCAAACCAACAGCGAACCACGCATTCATTTGGTTGGTGTGTGGTTGATATTGCGTGGCATCTGTGCAGCATTGTTGCCAATGCGATACTCATACCACAGAATAAATAATATGCTCATACCTACTCAAAAATGCATAGTAAGTAGGTACACCTACAATTTTTCCTGGTAACAAACAGCGATATCAAAGAAAAAGCAAATGACGGGAAAAGAAATGAACTGATTTTTTTTAAATAATATCTTACCTAGCTTTCAATTTTTTTTTACATTATTTATTCACAACTTATATAAGTACCAATACGTCCTACCGCTGGGCCTAAATACAGGTCTTCTCTTATTTCTGAGAGTTATGGAGCATTTACTTTGCCGCGCTGCTCCAGTGCCTATTGGTGGATTTTACAGGTTTCCTTACGATGTATTCCTTCACCGTCAAGCACGTGGTATAACAGCAGACGTTAAAATTGCATTTAATTTTACTGGTGCAAGAGGGGACACAGGTTCCAGCCGGGTTTCTCGCGTACTGTTTATGGAGACCGCTTAACACCTGAGCTACTACGACTCATGTGCCTCCATTAATTTTTATTTGGATTTTAAAGTTAGATGCCAGATTTCGAACTTCGAATCTAGCTCGAAAACAGCTATTTCATAGGTATATTTGGCATTTGATTTAAAAAAACGTTACACTAGGATTTTCTCCTGTATTGAGGAGGCAGTTTACATACGTAAATTCCACAAAGACAGATCTGAAACACTTTTTTTGAAAAAACTTTTTCCTGTGGGACTCAAACCAGCGGCCCTCCGAGGCGCAGGTCATTGCAAAGCTACTAAGTCACGGAGCTTTAAAAAATTGGATGTAACCAACAATATTAATTGTAAAACAACGCGTAGGAAAGTTTTAAGACAAATGTATGTACGTCTGATAAAAATTATATTTTCAAGGACGTGAATCCGCTAATTTGCACAGAAGCGTGGCGGCACAGCGCACTTTTTCATGCACCTTGACTCTTGATAGGCGGTAAGTATGTAGCCAGAAGTGTTTTTCGGTTATTACTACATTTATAAAATTTATAATTTTTTTTTATAGGATAAAGATGACATACGAGCATACAGTCCACCTGATGGTAAGTGGTTGCTGTGGCCCATAAACATCTACCTACATCTATCCTCGATTACGAATCAAAATGAAAATTAGTTGTTACCCGTGATAAGATGGATTGCCTCGTTTCCAGTAAAAAGGGTCTCTGGTTTTCAATACTCACCGTACAAAACAGCAGCATTGAGCTGCAAACGCAATCAAAAGCTACAGCCGTTTGTGCCGCAAATTTTCGACATTCGCAAGGGAATCAAAACCTACACGGTACTTCCCGTGAAGTCAGAATCTTAAAATTTGGTACGAAGCAACGTATTATAGCACAGATAAAGGAAAAATTGCAAAAGCATAAATTTTAGTTATATCATATAACAAAAATATTTTTAAAAATTTTAAACTCATATACCTACGGATTTGTTCGGAACCCTCGTTGCGCGAGTCCGACTCGCACTTGACCGTTTTTTTTTCTTCATCAGCGCACATTTCACTGCTGATAATGGATGTTTTACATATTAGCTATCAGTACACCTGAAGCCTTATTACCAATAGGTAATAATCATGTCAGTAGATAACCTCTATCTCCACCTATACAATGTGTTATTCTAATATCAATTAGTAAGAGAAAGAGAGAGAGAGAGAGGTCAACTTTAAGCATTAGCATGGACCATTGACGTCGATCTTTATTAGTAGGCCGATTGTGTACATTGTACCTATACATACCTGCTATTACAACGGAAAAAATATTTCGCTCCATCCATTGTTAGCACAATGATTTCGGCAACGCTGCCACTTATCGCTGCAATTTGTGTAGTTGTCAAGTTATTGTGTTCGCACAAACACACGCGTGTGATCCTCGATACCTTTCCCTATCAGCCGGAAGATTTAACGACTCGTCGCACAAATGTTACGGGGACCTCGTGACCTGATATTTCCAACGTCCGAATATTTCCAATGATCACGGGTTTGAATCTCACATTTGTGCAATAGAACCGATATCTGATTCTGACAACCTGTGTCGTAATTGTCCTTGATATTAAATTCTAGCCAACATCTTATATTATGACATAGTATAGGTGGGGATGAGTGATTGTCTGTGTTAGTGCAAATGCAAAAATTACACGCAATTAAAAAAAATAACCCCACCTCGAAGTGTCGGTCAGGAAGACCATCTTATCCGGAATTCGAACGTAGAATCTATAAGTCGTTATAGTTATAGGTACACACCTTGACTGCGGTAACAATAAATAGTTGAATTTAACCCAGAGTGCAGTAGCTTAGACCAACCGTTTTATAGCATCGTCAGTACATAATTAATAATTAAATAGTTTTATTAGAGGCTAGGTTCAAAGAATATATATAGACCAGAAATAATGATAATGCTATAAAAAATAATGGACACATTTTCCATCTAAAGTGTTCATCAAATCTTTTAACCTATCTACATCAGAAAAGTAAAAAGTTGAAAGGGCAACGACTATTACATATTCACAAAGAATTGAGGTAAGGGTAAGGGTAACAAGGGGATTTTTTTAATAAATTTATGAAGTACCATTGAACTAAAAAAAATATATATTTTATATGCTATCCTATAAACATAAAGTCAGTTTAATAGTAGGATATGAACATGGGCATATTCTTTGTAAAGTTGTAAAAGACAGTAAAAGCCATAAAAAATTAAGTTTATCTATATTTTAAGAAACTATTAAATGTAATTATTAGCGATCTGCCCCGGCTTCGCATGGTTGATTTCGGGATCTCGACAACAACGCCAGCTACGGGGTCTATTTGTGAATTTAAACCATTCTCTAATCAACTTTATCAAACACACAAAATTTCATCAAAATCGGTCCAGTCGTTTAGGAGTTCAGTCACATACACGGACAGAAGAATTATATAATATACATGTATTATACATATAAATCTTCCTCTTGAATGATTCTGTCTAGTGATGAAAATCGCATTAAAATCCGTAGCATAGTTTAAAAGATCTTGGAGTACAGACGGCGGGGAAGCAATTTCGTGTTATACAATCTAGAGAAGCACATTTGATTAACAACATCTTTGCTATAATTGGTATTGTTTAAGTGCAGTATATAAAAGTAGGAAAAAGCAGATGAATGCAACATATTTTTATTACCATCGTCAAACATCATATAAGGGATTAAAACTAACCCTTAGAACTTATTATATTTGAGAAATAACTACAAAATAAGACATTGCTGTGAGTGATGTTTTACTTATCATAAGCAGTTCCAACTTCAAAATAATATTAGTTCCCATTATATTTGAAAAAAAAAACTAAGATTCATATTACAGTATTAGACATCTGCAGATACATTAAAATTAAATTTAAATTGGATTTGTGCACAATTTGAATTTAAAGAATGTTCATATGAAGTTTTTGTTAATTATAATAAAACAAAAAATTGTCAAAATACTACATCAATAGAATCAGACGTTACTGTGCGGAAATCCATTATATTAATGTTGGTAAAAATTACCTTATTGAGAGGATGTTAGCAAAGTAATTTTTACCAACTTCAACAAACTACATTCAAATTCATATAATGACATTTACAAAATTAAAATCAAAATTAACTGATTAGGTTTTTCCAGAGGCTAATACACAGGATATGTTATGTAAAAGTACAAATGGACCCATATTTAGGTACCGTAAAGTTTATAAGAAAAGATTGGATAATTACTAAGTGTATTGGTTAATATTGTCATAATGGCAAATTAAATGCCAACTAAAGGTTACAAACTGAGCTTCTTACCAAGTTACCTATTAGCTTCACTTCTGTATAATATATACATAAACATATTAAACCAAACATTAATTTATGTTATGAATAAATATACAAATGAAAGATACAATTGCCTAACAGGTCTTAATTTATGGCACAAAAATACAGTATGAAAAATTATACTATATATAATTAATTTCAATTTGTAATAATGGATGATGGACATTAGTATATAATGTGTAATATATATAAATGGATTAACATTAGTGAAGCTAAAACAGTAATCGAGTTTCAACCTTACATACACACAATCATTATTGATTATATCTAAAATGAAAGCTCAGAATATTTAATCTGTCACCTAAAAGTGTGTTTGTCCACGATGAGCAAATCACAACACTGACTTTAACCATTGTTTTGGTGTTTAAAACCTATTTTTTTACTAGTGACCATATATAATTATTGGCAAAAGTAATTTACAAATTTTATGACAGCCTATATATATATATACATTTATACATAGTTTGATAAATAATACTAGAGTTTAATATATATATATATATATATATATATATATATATATATATCCAAATTCTACATAGTTAAATATAGAAATGGAATAAATAATAGAAATATTTTGGCATTACTCAAACCAAAACCCAGTTAAAGTCAATGATATTTTACATTTGCGACAAAATATCACAAGTCTTTTACAAGTTTCTCTCAGTATCTTAACATCCATAATGAATTACACCATCATTAAACATATTATTAAACACTTAACATGTAAAAGTTTCACCATTCAGCATCACCATTGGCTTTTTGGAAAACATAATCTTTGCCAGCTAGATTCATAATACCATCTTTAAGGTAGAACTTCCATTTGTTACGACTGCGAGTTATTTTGTCATATTGGCAAACAACCACATTATCAGTGTCAAACATGTCACCGGGTTCTTCATCAGACACATCATCACCTGAGTTAAGAGGTTCTTCCTCAGCTCCACCACTTTCATCTCTTTCGTCTTCTTCCTCTTCTGCACGTTCCTCTGCCGATTCTTCATCATCATCATCATCAGCTCCACCATCCTCAGAGCCATCACCAACATTAGAACCTTCGTCATCTGAAGAATCCATGGCACCATCTAAAGAAAATGGTGCAGCACCACTTCGACCTCCTCCACCACCGTCAAATTCACTTTGTTGACCAGCTAGGGCAGAATTTATATGTTGTTGAAGTAAGGTTGCAGCAAGTGGTTGCGGCAAGCTTATTGTCGCATTGATGATGGGTCCAGTCAAGACCTGGTGCAGTTTGTTACCATTTAGTGCTGATGCTGGTATCTGAATCGTAAATGACCGTGGCTGTGAACCTGGTACACCAGGCTGAGCTGGTAATGTTAATTGCACTGGCACTTTATTATTAGGGTCTAAAACGTGATGTGGATGTGCACCTGGAATATTTGAGGCAGGAACACCATGGTCCACACCAGTATTCTGTTGGCTTGAACTTTGTTGAGCCATGTGTGTATCAGTTCTTTTAGGAATAGCATTATTTCCATTTGCTTTTTGAAAGTTTTGGAGAACAGGAGGCGGTGGGTGTCCGATCGTAGTGTCAGGTTGAGGTGGATCCATAGCCCCACTTGCAGAAAGCTTCGTTTTCCATAACTGCTTGAGCTCTTGTAATACTTGTTCGTCTACACCATCATCTAAAAAGCAATCTCGAACTCCGGCAATAACATCGTCTACCACAGTATTGTATAGTTTCATGACGGACACTTGACTCATCGTCATTTTGATTAATTATTAATGCGAACTTAGCAAATAAAGATTATACTTACTCGCAAATGTAAGTATTTAAGAATGTAAAACTGATAATTAAAGCGAGAAGTGGATATCGCTATTCGCATTCACATCTCTATTCAATGTCAAACAATATTGGAGATTACACAGCCATCTTCGCAAAAAACTATTAAACGTTTTATTTTACAACGCACGATCGATCACAATCACCACAAAACGTAAACGAAAAGATCTGACCACTTCATCGTAGAATTTCACAAAATAAGTACCTTATTTAACATAAATTTTGACAATTGACGACTAAAACATAACCTACAATCAAAAAGCAGTATTGTTTGCCAGAGAGCAAAAAAATTATCTATGGTGTTCAACTTCAATATCGAAATTACTACTCAAAGTACGCATGCGCTAATACAGCGCCACCCTGTTGCACGTAAAACGTAGTGATTATATACTCGTTGTAGGCCGGTAATAACTTTATATTATACATTTACGACAATTTGTACTGTCGCAAATGTGTGTATTTGCGACAGTTCCTCAGCTCAAGTATGCGCAATAGTTAACAATCTTAATTATACCTCAAGTTACAGCTTAGTTTTACGTTATCAGCTAAGTGACGCACTATGAAACTCGACTTTCAAGTACCTACGTGTATAAGTATTGAGATGCTAAAATCTGAGTGAGAGCGGTCCGAGACTTGAGTTCGTGATTGTATTTGTTATGTAGCGTGAATCTTGGAGTTTGAAAATATTTTGAGTGAAATTAATTATTACGATGAAATAGGGTAACTAACTACGTAATTACGATATTTTACGGACTTTTTGAAATCGTTTATTAAAAAAGGGATGCCTCCAACGAATTCTTTTGAGTTACCATTTTTTTGAGATGCGGCGGCGCGGTCTCCTTATTTTCCACCAGAGCCCTATACTGTGTTTTATTTACTTACTTATCTTCACGCACAATCCCTGACGGGGTAGCCAGAGAGAACAGATCGCCAAGTGTCACGATCCTTACAAACCTCTTTCGCTTCTTTCAGATTCATTATCTTCTTCATGCATGCATGTCTAGTATCCGAGTACTCTTGACCCTACCCTCTTCGAGCAATTTGCTCACATGGTCTTCGAAAGTTAGTCTCGGTCTACCTCCACACCTTTTAATATTAACTTTCGCGCTATATATTTTCTTCACCATTCGGTCTTCACTCATTCGCTCAACGTGCCCAAACCACCGAAGCACGCCCTTATCATTTTTTGTGATAAGGTCATCTTTCAAACCTGCCATATTGTGATTTATTAAATCGAGAAATCATTTTTTTCTCAATCTTTGTGTAATTAATGTTGTTATAATGCGAGATCAGTGATGTTATAAGAAAACAAGCAAAGAGTTTAAAATCACTACATTTTAAACAAGCAGATGTTGTTTGGTGTCGTCTCTTTTTTAAAACTGACGCTGTCGCTTTATTGCGTTAGGTTATTTGAGTTGAGTAGTAAATATTTAAGTGCTATTTAAAAATACATACACCACAGATTTAATAATTTGACGCTTTCTTAAGTAGAAAACAACTATATATCGTTAAATGTGATGATAATATTCTAAACTTCTGTTAATGTTACGTAATCGATCACGGGATCAGGCCCTCAAGTCACAAAACACTATCCTAAGTACAGCGTCTTGAGGAGTTTTGATCTTGGTAACTGAGCTTACTAAATATCTGATTATTAATTAGGAACGATCTTAGGATGATGTCGTAATGAGGGCGTATCAAATGATTAGAGTTCGTCGTTGAGAAACGTTTAACGTTTTTTTATTAATATGGACCTTAGTGCTTGTAAATATACTCTTTGACTGTAACAGTTTTAGTTAATTGCACCTGCAAGAAAACTTCTGTAAGAAGTGTCCGAAAGTCAGTCAGACAGTAGCTAGCAGATGTAAACTACGTAGCAAGTGCACTCCCGACGGTTTATTAACTCAATTTGTCGTTTCGTTTGAGTAGCTGTGAGTGCAGTAGATTGTAAGTCTAAACATCTTCACATCGACTCGCGACAGATCTCGCTGTTACCAGCAAACATTTCAAAGTGGTTTTTAAACAAATTAATTACAATTACTTTTTGATATTTAAATAAAATCAATCATATCAAAAATATATCAAAATAACTAGGAGCTCATTCTTTGCGGGTCGACTTGTGCCAACCTGTTATTCAAAGTCTGTCACAGAGTCATGAGATTTGCTATCCTTTTCTATCTTGATATATTGCCATAAGGAATTATTTTCTCCCTTGCACACTATGGCCGTCTATTACTATCATGAGTTTATTAATGATTATAACCGTATTTTAAATAGATTTTGAAAATACGAATAAAAGTTATATACCTAAGTATACATATTAGTTATTCTAATCCTTTTCGGTAAATTTGGCCGGTGATTGCAAATGTAACCCTGTACTTATTGTCTGTGAACTGGCAAGAAGTACTATCTGAACTTTTTTTACGGTAAATTGTTCTGAAGGTTGGTGCGGATTACTCATAAAATGTTAAAAGCGTAGTTTAAATTGGGCACCAAATATAAGTAGATTGTTTCAATTGAACACGTTGCGCAGTTTGTTAAAATATATTTTTGTTGTTTGCAATAAACAAAAGTTTTCTGTGATTGACTATCACAAGCAGCAGTCCAAGTTATAGAAACCGTTTGGTTTGCATTCAGCCATGTTTGATCCAGGAACACCACTTTATGCCAATTATCAATATCTATCTTTTTTCGTAAAAAATCAATGCTTGCAAGAGCAATGTCGTTACGTTCCATAATAATTTTTCTTTTGTTACTCTTTTTATTTCCTCGTTATTTGCCCGAAACTCTTCACCGCTGCATCGGAAGACGTTTTTAAGCTACTAGACTGGAAAGTGAAAGACTCAATGACCTCAATAATGTCTTTTAACGGATAGGTCTTAAGATGAACATGGACAAAACAAAAGTCATGTGTAACGTCCATGTCACACCTATGCCGGTAGTTGTTAGGGACACTAAGCTCGAAGTTGTTGACGAGTATATTTACCTGAGACAAATAGTCCGACTAGGTAAGTCCAACTTCGACCGCGAGGTCAATCGACGGATTCAACTCGGCTGGGCAGCGTTCGAGAAATTACGGCATATCTTCTCGTCAGGTATACCTCAAAACTTAAAAACTAGACTGTACAACCAGTGCGTGTTGCCAGTGATGACTTATGGAACTGAAACGTGGTCCTTCACGGCTTTATAGAAATAGCTTAATTAAGTAATTGAATTTGGGCATAATTGTTATTTATTTTACTGATTTTTAATAAAAAATAAATACAAAGACTAAAAATATTTTTATGTAGTATGATTCGAATAGACATACCTCAAAACCTTAAAACGAAATTGTACAACCAGTGCGTGTTGCCAGTGATGACTTACGGATCTGAGACGTAGTCCTTCACTGCTGGCCGTATGAGGAAGCTCAAGGTCACTCAGCGAGCTATGGAGAGTGCTATGCTCGGGGTTTCTCTGCGTGATAAACTTAGAAATGAGGATATCCACAGTAGAACCAGAGTGAACGACATAGCCCAAAGGATTAGTAAACTGAAGTGGCAATGGGCCGGCCATATAGCTCGAAGAACCGACAACCGATTGGGAAAAAAAGGTTCTTGAGTGGCAGCCTCGTACCGCCGGACGAAGTGTAGGGCGTCTCCCCACCAGATATAGTGACGACCTGGTAAGACATGCAGGAAGTCGATGGATGCAGGTGGCTCAAGACCGTGCTTGGACCGTGAAGGAATGCCACATCTTTGGGGGAGGCCTATGTTCAGCAGTAGACTTGTGAAGGGCTGTAATGATGATGATGACTCTTTTTATAATAGATTCCAATTTTTTTTATTATTGCTGATAAAGATGGTAGACTCACACTGAAAAAATTTGCATCTTTCAGGGAAACTGCTAAGTTTGTTAATGTTGGCAGCTCGTTATGTGTGTAGTATGCGTAGATGTGATTATGAATTGCTGCGGCATCGAAATCGCTTATGTCAGTTACAGGGCAACGTTTCTTTCTCTTTTTATTTGGAGTAGATAACTTATTTTCCTACGTTGATCTCAAAATTTTTCTTTGCTGATTCTAGTCACAGTAATTCTTCCAATTCTAAGAACCTCAGCCACTCTGTCACACACTTGTGACACTGGCAACAGCGGTCCGCCCTTTTGTTATTCACGTTCAAAATAGTCACGCAAACGAATCACAAACTCGCGAGATTCGCTATTTAAAACAGTTTTTCTGGTTCTTTTTGGCATTGTAACAACAAAAAGGCAATACTTAAAACAAATCAATAACAACATAGCAACAACAAATACTCAAAACAAAGAAATAAACGAAAACTTGGGAACACAAAGCGTATATGAGGCGTCTGGCATCAGCACTCGTACTGAATGACGCTCAAACAAAGAAAATAGCGGCTCAATGTACTCAGTGTGACCAACATTAAAAAAAACAAACGCATGATTATTATTTTCTTGAAAGGAAACATTTTTTCTGAAAAAATATAAAATAAATTCGCATTTGTCGATTTGTTCCATCTCTAACATTTTTGCAACTTGGGGTAACCTTGTAAGGTGGTAGTAAATTATTAGGTTTACTTTTTATGATAATGAATCAATATAAAACTGGTTTAATTTTAAAGCTGAATTTATGTGATATGCACGTTTTAAAGTGAAAAACTATCACCAAAAATATTGTTCACTCGCCAGAAGATTTTTCGTTTTACAATTTTAATCAAATCACCCGTTACGTTGGACGCTACTACAAAGTTATGCCGTCGCTTTTGATGACAGCTGTCATTCTACTCAAGCTATATTTAAAGAACTATAGGAAGTATGCGTACCAGAAAAAACGCATTAGAAACAGTAAGAACTCTAGAGCACACGTCCTTTGCACGATTGGGGGATTCCATCCAGCCCACTCGACTCGTGGCCATATGTATTCTAACAA